TAAGGTGACGCCGACGTGTCAGCTGAGATGCCACGTGTCCTGGTCATGACGCCAAGGTTATCTCAGCGAGGCCAAGGTTACCTCTGAAGATATCGGAATCTGAGATAAGCGGATAAGGCACAAGAGTATTAGAAAGGAGAAAGACTACAGTTGGGAAAGGATAAGACTCTTAGGGAGTTTATCCCAATCCTACTGGGAGTCCAAGATTTATAGTAATCCTAAGTTCATTAGAGCCAGGCTCCTGTTGGGACAAGGATTGAGTTAGCTATAAAAGAGAGGCACCCCCGTGGGTCTAAGGTACACAATTTCATATTCTGAACAGTGAGATTTGCACTATTGATTATCTTTGAGAGATATACTGACATGATTGTCGGAGTACCCCCGGGTGGACGAACCACCGCCGGAATCTTCTCTTTCTGTTACAGATCAGCCAGGTGTCATCTATTCTGCCAATGTTCTCCAGCTGAATACTAAGTTGGGCAGTGTGATCGAAAAATCACTCACACAGTAGTGTAGCTAGAATCACTCGTATTTAAACAATTGGACTTGTGACCAAATAAAATTCAAAATTAGATTTATGGACCGAGTATCATTCTTTTAATGGATTTATTTATTTTTTTCCCCATCTTTAGTGAACTTTTTATAAAAATTCAAAATAAGTTTCAACAATTCATAAGAGTAAAATTTTGACACAATTTTTTTTTAAAAAAAATACTAAAAACAAAAGAAATTGAAAAATATATATATTTTTAATTATTTTTTAAAATTTTTAGTGAATTTTTAAAAAAATTCAAATCACGTTTGTTTAGCTCCATAGAATGGAGGAGAATTGAGTAAGGAGATTATTAGTGTGGTATTATTAGATTGGATATGTAGAATAAAGTGTGTTTGTTCATACACTACCAAAGTGTGTTTGTTTGTACACTACCGGATTAATAATACTATAAATAATATTATTATATAAAATTAATATTTTTTAATTTTTAGTAATTTTTTAATATTATAATTTTTTTTGTACATTTTAAATCCACTTAATTTAGAGACACTTAAAAAATATAAATTTTGAGTAAAAATTATTTAAAATTTCACTAAATATATATAAAAAAATCATATATCTTTTAGTATTTATTAAAAATTTCTTCCAAAAATAAATTATTTGAAAAAAAATAATATTAAAAATATTTTAATTCGTCTTATTTAATAAACTAACCAATGCAACTTTTAAAAAATAAATAAATAAATACAATTATATGAAATTTTATAAATACTCTTATTCTACATGTAGGACAAGGGATATAATAGTCTTTCAACTATTAGTTCCATCAAATTTCTCTTGATGGAATCTCAACAAGTAAAAATTAGCGGCACAATTCCTCGGATTGATGCACATCGTTTGTAATTGTATTCCCAAATGTCAAAAGTTGACATATTTCTCTTATTTAGATAGGATAAATTATCAATAGGTCTTAATAGTTAGATTTAATTTTCATCAAGTCCTATTAAAAATAAATTTTGATAAAATTGTCGCTAAAAATATTTTTTTTGTAACAATTTTTTTATATGTCGCTAAAAATTGACAATTAGTGATATTTTTTTGTCATGATTTTTATAAATTGTCGCTAAAATTTTCAATTAGTGACTTTTTTTATGATAAATTTTTCTCATAAAATTTATTAAATAATAAATTCACTTATTAAAACCTACACATAAGTCCCAATTAGATATGAAATCACTTCTTGAATGGGATGATGAAGGAAGATAAATATTACAGGAATGAGATAAGACATTAAGGCTAAGTTTGGCAATTCAAAAATAATCCATCTTTTTATCTTTTTTTCATCACATCACCTCTTTACTTTTCTACATATCTTTTCGTAAAAAAATAAAAAATATACTTATTTAAGTCATCCCAAACAATTCCTAAAGATCACAAAAATGAAGAAATGGTAGACTCAAATTGGCCACCTCCTTAGGTCAACAATGGTGGGCTGTGGTCCAAGTCCAGAGTCAATAAACTTATGGATTGCTAATCCCTTGGAATTTTAATTCCACCACAATATTTCATAACTAAATATTCATTATATGGTATTTCCTCATTAGCAGTCTAATTCTCTCACTCATAAAGCCAAATAAATGTATTCTTAAGTATAAAATGTAATTTAACCTTTTGCTGATAGAGAATTTTAATAAAAAGGTTAAAAGTAATTTTTTTTTGATTTTTGACTTTTTTAAGTCATACCATCTATTTATTTATTTTTACATATTTTAAAAAAAAAAAATCAAAAAATCAACTTTTAACCTACTTTCTAAAACAAATATTTTTTTACTTTTTATTTATTTAGTTTGGATAAATTACACTTTATCTCGGGAAATTCTATTTTCACACACCAAGTTTCTTTGCTCCATACACTTAATGAATTTTTTCAGAATTATAATTTTATCCTTTAACAAAATTACCATCTCACCGACCATCATCTCACCCACACATTTCACAATTTCTCCATACACATTTCATCCACCACGATCTCACCAGTCACTTTATCGCCGGCCATCACCTCCCATGCCCAAACCTCAACCATATACAACATTTCCTTTCACTTTCCCCACTCCTTCAGTCCCTAACCTTCCCATTTCGTGTGAACAGAGCTCTTTGCTTCTGGTAACAAATCCTCAAAATTAATAACAATTGAGCTACCAAACTCTTCAAAATTAACAATTGAAAAATTGTATGACTCCGTATCAATTAATTGTCTCTCGTTTGGTTCGACAATTGAAGTCCTGCTCTGAAATCATCACAATTTCTTCAATGTCCTCCTTGCTTCTAATAGTGATTCAGTCTTCTTTCCAACTCCAATTTGGCAAATTTGAACTATCTCTAATCAAATTTTGGATTCTCTCTACCGAAAAATTTGAAGATGAACTGATGTGGGTCAGATTCCAATGAGCTTCCAATACCTCCACTAAATCCCAAACACCTTGATCTAACAAAATCATTGGAGAATTCCGAGTAAATTCTTCATCTACTTTAGGAGAATTCGATTCCAGATCATCAAGAAATGGGTGACGAAGAAGCTCTTTAGCTGTTCATCTCTCTTTGGAATCTCTTCTCAAATACTTTTCCATAAAATCTTTAGTTTTCTCGAAAAAACAGGTGGGAAGCTCCGGTACTTGACCGGAAAATCCAATTCTGTTTGGTTCGACAATTGAAGTCCTGCTCTGAAATCATCACAGTTTCTTCAATGTCCTCCTTGCTTCTAACAATGATCCAGTCTTCTTCCCAACTTCAATTGGGCAAATTTGAACTATCTCTAATCAAATTTTGGATTCTCTCTACCAGAAAATTTGAAAATGAACCGATGTGGGTCAGATTCCGGTGAGCTTCCAATACCTCCACTGAATCCCAAACACCTTGAACTAACAAAATCGTTGGAGAATTCTGAGTAAATTCTTCATCTACTTTAGGAGAATTCGATTCCAGATCATCAAGAAATGGGTGACGAAGAAGCTCTTTAGCTGTCCATCTCTCTTTGGAATCTCTTCTCAAACACTTTTCCATAAAATCTTTAGCTTTCTCGAAAAACTAGGTGGGATGCTCCAGTACTTGACCGGAAAACCCAATTCTGTACAGAGTTGACACAGGGTCATTAACCTTTGGCCATGGGTGACACCCAATGGCCATCTCAATTATAGTTCACCCAAGAGCCCACACATCAGCTGAAAACCCTCATTTTTTACCACGCGCCACCTCCGGCGCCATAAACATCGGTGTACTGAAAAATGGCTCTGCCGCCACCCATCTGGCACAACCCAAGTCTCCAATTTGATACCATCTTCGCTGATCAAAACCTTTTGACCATTGATGTCACAATGCACCAACCCATTCAAGTGAAGATAATCCAAGCCTAGTGAGATTTGACGAGCATAAATTCCGATCACAAACTCATCGAGCGAACCTCCTTGCCTCTTAATTTCATCTGAAATCGTGCCACCGAAAACGTATTCCATGAAGAGATTGTAGATGGGTTTGTTGTTTTCATATGTGATTTCAAGTTTTTGGAGTGAGAAATGATGGAATGAGAGGATGTGCATAGAGAAGGTGAGGGTATACTTGGAATGTGAAGTGTGTGGATTGAGATAAAGAAGTAAAAATCAAATTACTAAATCTGTGGATTGAGAAAAGATGTATACAGAGATAATTTGGTATTTGAAAATAGAATTTCCCCTTTATCCCTTTTATGTTTGACTATTTTGGTCCTTAAAGATTCTTTTCTTTTTTCCATTTTGCTCCATATTTTTAGTTTTTTTTTAATTTACTTTTAAAATTAATTTCTATTCAAAATTAGACAAAAAATATCATGTTAACCATCACATAATATAAAAATATATTATTATATTAAAATTTGAGTTTGTATAAGAGGTTTATTATATTAAAGTTTGAGTTTGTATAAGAAATATGAGTTATATATAATAAAATATTTTTATATTATGTTATTGTTAATGTTTTATTTTCTGTTTATTTTAAATATAAATTAATTTTTGAAATAAATTTTAAAAAAAATCCTTTAAACATGCCAAAATAAGTAAATATACATATATATATATATATATATAAAAGCTTTAAAGTCAAAATAAAAAAAATGAGTCATTTCACAGGTTTTGAATATTGAGGCGCGAATTTGTTTCGAATTTGTTTAATTGGTCGTCCGGCCGGTCATTTAATTGGTCGTCTGGTAAAGAAGCTAACAACGCAATCGATACGGTGACAATCATGATAGACAAGTATTTCACCTGATCGTCTAAGTGGTAATCCACCCAATCACTTGGCATGTCGATCGGTGACGACAAATTCAAACACATTCACACCTGAAACACTTGAGCCCTGAAGCATTAGTGTAAAAAAATTAACCAACCAAGGGTAAAGCGTAATTTTCCCTTTTATAGTTTTGGTAATTCACGTCTCTGTCTTGCTTTGCAGGAAGGCCTTTTGCTTTAAAGTTGAAACACCATCATCATCATCCTCATCTAACTAATTCTTCAGAAATAAACACAAAACCCCCCATCTTCTTCCCCAAATCTAACAAACCCATATTTTTATCGCACAGAGAGAGAGAAAGAGAGAATCAAGGAAGATCAGAGCTCGAACTCACCCATCAATGGCGTACGTAGACCACGCTTTCTCCATTTCCGACGAAGACATCATGATGGACTCCTCTTACAGCTTAAACAACCGCCCTCCGATCAAAGAGATCGCTCTCGCTGTCTCTCTCCTCGTTTTCGGAACCCTAGGCATCGTTCTCGGCACCATCATGGCCTTCAATCGAGTCGGCGGCGACACTGCTCACGGTAATTTCCCAAACCCTAGTTTGTTTTTTTTTTTTCGAATTTTGACATTTGACACTTTCCCGGGAAATTTTTTGTAGGGATTTTCTTTGCGATTCTGGGTTCGGTTCTGTTCATTCCGGGGTTCTATTATACGCGGATTGCGTACTATGCGTACAAGGGTTACAAGGGTTTTTCTTTCTCTAACATTCCTCCTGTGTAGTTGAGAAGATTCAGACCCCCAATCTCCTGAGTTTCCTGTACAGATCCCTCTTTCCTTGCTACCCTACTGGTTTTTTTTTTCGTTCTTGCTTTTGTTGAGTCAATAATAATGCTTATGTAGATGCTATGTGTTTCTGAAAAATTGGCTGCTGTAAAATCTGGTTCCTTTTGCGAGCATTTGATTATATTATTTGTGTGCTATACATTGTTATGTTCATGCTTTTTTTTTTTTTTTTTTTAAATGAACTTCTATTTATTTAAATGGATAAGATCAATTAAGCTATATGAATGCTAGTATACTTGTATGTGAGCTCTCGAGGAGTTTTCTTCGATGGAAAGAAAGAATTAATTTTCTTTTCTTTATTTCTTTTCGTGGGAGGAGAGGCTGTCAGAATCTTGTGTTAGTTTTGAGCATCCGTTCTTGTTTGTCAAGGGCTATATTGCTATAGTGATCACTTAGCATTGTTGGATAGTCATTAATTTTGATAAATTACTTGCTTAGATTTCATCATTTCATTAAATTTGATAAAATTTCTTGGACACTCAGTGGCCACTGCTTACATATAACATATTAGAAGTTTCAAGAAAATAACTTGAGATCAAATAACAATTAAATGGATTAAATGGGTTAGTTGGGCCAAGAGAACTTGACCCGCCTTGGTGTCTGGCAGGGAAAGGTTACGGGATGGGGTCTTGGGCTGGATGAGACTGCAAGGGGGAATGGGCTAACACTGAAACAGACCAACTTAGGCCCAAAAAGAGTGTGGATGGCAATTCTTGTGCTAGCATATTGACCAATGTGAATGTGAGCTGGTAATGCTAGCAAGGATGTGACAGTATGGAGGTAGACTTATCGATTGTTTTAAGTTGCAGTCTGCATTGTCCTTGTATAGATTGCTTTTAGAATGCTTTGTTGTAGCTAGTAGCACTATAACTGTAAGAGAATAACTAACTTGTTAAAGTTAGAATGGAAAGAGGGAGTGCTTCGTTTATGTAGGAGAGTTACTAGAGACATCAATAGGGTGTTGGCCGTGGTGAGGTGATGATGACAATAGCAAGCACTCATTCTTCGTCCGATTTTTCAGGCTTGTAGCTTATGAACCATCTTCCAAGCCTTTAAATATGCACCAAGCTCTAAACTGTCTTTAAGGCCTGAGTTAAGATATATTAGGCCTCATATGGGTTTATAATATCGTAAGTTGATCTTATGGGTTCATAATATTGTAATGTGGTCTTATGGTTTAGTATGTACAGTTTATTTTAAGCAGTGTAATGCTAGCATGTAATGCAAATAACGTACCTTAGAGAGTTGATGTAGAACTAGAAAAGTGATGATAGAAAAGAAGAAGGAGAAATAGCAGAAGAATAAGATTAGAAGAACGGCATATGAGAGAGATTCATGAATCTTCTCCTTTTTCTTTACTAACCTAGTTTCTTCCATAGAATCTGTTTCTTGTCATTGCTTATGTTGTCTTTTCATCTTCTTTCAGATTTCCTATCCTATTGTTTCATTCATTTTCGCTGTTGATTCATCTTCTTGTCCTGTTGCTATGTTGCCCCTTTTCCATTTTTGTTAGTAATTTATTTGTTTTTCTTTCGGTCTATTTATTTTTCTCACTTTTTGTTTTGAATTTTGTTTCCACAAGGAGATTATATAATAATAGAGATAAAAATTTAAAGATTTAGTGGAAGATTTTCATTTTTCAAATTGACCAGACTTCAATCGCTGAGTTCATTAGTATCATAGAAAGGAACAAAGTTCATAGTTGTTGTTTAACTGTGAACTTGGGTGAAGCTTTTTTGGCTTAGCCAGATGTTGAAGGAGGCAATTAAGTTCTTGAAAGGTTCAATAATAATAGATGTGTTTCCTTGAAGTATCAATGTGGGTGGGAGATTGAAAGTGCACTAATATAATAGCGGTGTATTCCTTTTGGAGTAATGCTCAAGGGTGTTGTTTGGATATAAGAATATTGAGAGTGGCAGAAATAAGGATTTTGAAGAGAAGTGAAGAGGAAAGGATTATGAAGAGAACGGCAAGGGAAGATATACACTCTGGAGATGTCACCATTATATATAAAATAGGGGCAAATAGTGAAGCTTCTGCAATGTGTTATTCTGATGTGCTTAAGCAAGATCCAAATTACTTTAGTGGTATAGGTGTTAGAGGTGATTGGGTGAAGGCTATTGTTTCTGTTGGGGAGAACTTACATGAGTTGTAGAAATTAGAATCATATTCAGGTAGCCATGTGTAAAATGTGGGAGAAGAACTTTGCTTGTTGATCATTTCAAATTAACAAAGCTTTGGTTTTTTGTAGATCCAAGGATGAGGCTGAAAGGTTTGGAGATTTGAGAAGATGTGCTTCTTGAGGGTCGGTTCTTAGTTGCACGAAGCGGGAGCGGGGGAACGTGGCCACTTAGAGGAATCGTAGATTAGGAGCACTTACGGAGTGATAATGGAGTGATATTATTATATATGATCTATAAGATCTAATTAGATCATATATAATAATATATGTTAAAAAGTTGAGATATAATAATTTACAAAATTTATTATTATATATGATATTTTAAGAAATAACAATTAGATAATTTATTATATATGATAAAAATTATAATTGATAACTTTTATTATATATATTATATATGATCAATTATATTTTATAAAGTAAATTATATTAAAACAGAGATAGAGAGAGAGAGAGCAAAGAACAAATTGAGAGATGAAGAGAGAGAGAAGCTCAGAGACGAAGAGGAGATCAAGAGTGAGAAAAGAGAGAGGCGAAGACAATCGAGATCGACAGTGAGAGAAGAGAGTGACGAAGATGATTGAAGAGAGCAAAAGAATGAGAGATAGAGAGATTGAGAAGAGAAGAGAGAGAAAACGAGAGGCAAAGAGAGAAGAAGATCAAGAGACAGAGAGATCGAGAGAGAGAAGACAGAGAGATCAAGATTGAGAGTGAGATCGAGATCAAGAGCTCGAGATCTTGATCGTTTTCTTCTCGCATCGGATTTGCGTTTCTCACTCCTCAAACTCGTGGTTCTTCCTCAGAAGCGCAAAATTGCGCTTCTGCCTCAGATTCATTAGTATCATCCACAATTCTGCTACTAAGGGTCGTTTTATGGTGATTATATGAAAATGGAAGCTAGAAGTTTTAAGGAGCGTGAAGTGGTTACTTCTTGTGTGTGTGTTTTTTTTTTTTTGTTTGTGTTGGTTTTTTTTTTTTTTGGGGGGGGGGGGGGGTGTGTTTGGCACTACAAAATTTTCCTTTTTTAAGTACTGGTGAGTAGATGTCTTTACCATAACTAGTAATGCTTCTGGTGGATTGATCGATATACTAAAAAATTGTCAAACTTTTTTAAAGCAAGAATTGAGGTTAAAGGTTTTGAAATTGGTTTCAAAGCTTACTGTCCATTTGAGAGCTGTTCCAAAGGTAATTGGGGGTAGACATGGATATCAAAACAACTTTCATGGGAGAGGTGGTACAAAATTTATGTTCACCCATTGGGAGGTTGAAGATGGGGGAATACCTACAGAAGGTGGCCTTGGTAGTATATAGGTAAGGAATAATAGAACTTTTCATGTTACTGTGAACAATGGTAGGGGTGAAACAAATCATTTCACTAATGGCTCCACTAGCGTCCTTACTGTGAACAATTGTCTTCTTGGATTTCATTATTTCATTTCCTTAGAGATTGCAAATAACATGTGTTTCTCAATAGAAGAATTAGTTTTGGGATTTGTCTGAGAGCTTGATATACATTGTTAGACCCATTTTCTAAAAGTTTAAGTTTGTGGGACAAATGGCGATCTTAAATGGTACCAAAACTCGTAGGAGAGATTTTTAGTTTAAGTCCCTCCGTTTGCATTTGTTTCCTTGTTTGCATTATGTTTTTCTACATGTTTCATGCTTGCATCTCCACATGCAAGACAAGGTTTCACGTGATGGATTATGTTGGAGAACTTGATATACATTATAAGACCCATTTCCTAACAGGTTGAGTTTGGAACGATTGGTGATCTAACAAGGTTGAATAGAGATGCCTCATGAGGTGCTTGATTATTTTCAAATCCTTCCATCTTAAAAGTTTGAGAAGCATTCATTTGGTCTTATAATTTGATCACTTCTCACTATTCCAGTTTGAATTAAAAGCATTTTTTTATTTAAAAAAAAAAAAACTGGGATTGTTCATAATTTATATACTATTGGTTTTATCTGATGTCAGGTGTCTGGTAAATTCTCTTTTATCTCCCCAACCCCCCCTTCTCCCCTCCCTTCATACATTGTTATCCGTTGTATCAGTGGCTTGCCATGAAATTTTTTTCCCTTCAGATATATCAGAAAGACATCTGCATGAAACAAAAGCTGCTTATTATTTGCAGTTTTTAGTAGCAGTTTTGTTTTCTAACATTAGGGCTTATAACACAGGTGAATATGAATGCACTCTAACACAGCTTTATACTTTCTGCTCCTACTTCTGTTGTGTTTGGAATATGGATTTGAGTAAGGATTTGATAAGGGAAAAAGAAAAAAGGTATGAAATGTAGATATGTTTCATTCACATTTCACATACATTCTCTCTTTCCAAATCTTTATGTCTTTTTCCAAATCTTTATCCAATTCCATGATTTCAAATAGAGCCTTAAAAAGCTTCTCATCCTCGGAAAAGGGTTGTGTGTGTATATATGTGTGTGTGTGTGTACAGTAGAAGAGTGTGAACACTACTCTGCAATTGAAATTGTTATGGAGATTGTAGGTGAGAATAGAGAGTTATGTAGTGGGTAATAGTTTTTTGCTTATTGATTTTACATTTTGGTCCTTACAATAATTGTTAGGCAAAGGTAATATGTAGAAAAATCATGTTGTTGCCGTGAATTTTTATGAAAATGTAAATTGTGACAAAATTTCAACGCAGTTGCTGGCATTGGCACTTTAGGGCACTAAGTTGATTTTCTAGATTGGAAAAAAAGTCGTTAAATAATGGTGGTTGGTAATAGAAAAAATCAAGTGGTTGGTAATTGGAAAAGTAATAGTTGATTGAGGAAAAATTGATTGATCTAAAAAAATGTGCAAAGAAACAATTATTTAACGACTTTTGTTAGTTGAATGGCAGAATAAAAAAAATTGGTGGTTAAAAAAAAAATGTTAAGAAATTATTGGAGTTACATTCCTATAATTTAGAATTTTGGACACTGTTCATTAAGGGTGGGCGCGAGTC